TGTGTTTATCATCTTAGTCAAGTGTAGTCTTACTGTAGAAGTGACAGCGAAAGTGGGAACACTGGTTCTAGCTGTGGGAACTTCCAGCCAGAGCAGAGTTTCTATCTTCACCATCTGTTCATCCATCCATCTTCTTGGTGCTCTGGCATCCTACCTTGACATATGACTCTGATCTTGTATCATAGATAATATTTCTCTGGAGAGTCTCTCAGTTGTACTTAACATTATTTACTAACAACTTTACCATCATCATAGGTAGGTTACACAGGATAACATATTACATACTGTGTATTATATTTCTAATACTGACTGAGCATTTATTGTATGTCAGGCACTGTTCAAAATGCTTTTATAAATTTACTTAAACTCACAACAACCCTATGGTGTAAGTCCTATTATCCCCATCCATATATGAAGAACTGGAGGGGATGTGGTTTCAACCTTAATTCAAAAGAACATTCCAAAATAACTCTGAGTTGGAAAACAATGAAATGTTAAATAGTTTTAGACTTAATCTACTTTGACATGTTTAAATATTCAAAATTCAAAATTCAAAGCTTAAGTTTTCAACTACAGATGTGGGGAGTTATGAAGTTCAGAATTAATATTATTGAGCAAGTTATCAAGATATGAACTGTTGTCTTGGAGATTTTTGCTACCAAGACTCATCAAAGGGGAAAAAAGTAAAGGATGACTTTCCCCAACAGCAGGTAAGCTTTTGTGTCCTAGAATTTGCTCCATGGATATAATTTACAGATTGCTTACTTATTTAGTGATTGCAAGAAGGTGACCTAGCTAGAGAGAGGAATACACCCCAAATAGCCAGAGAAAGACATATGCTCATTGAGATAATCTGCATATGTTACCTGTATAACCTCGGATATAGGCTATATCCTGTATACCTAGGATAACTGAGTGTTTTGAAGAGAAAAGCAGCGGACTACTTAAAGGAAATCAGTTGGGTTTGTTGAGACCAGAGAACATTAACCATCAGGAATAACCAAGAAAATATAGGTCATAGGCCCCACACTATTTTTATGGGTCCTGGTAAAACCCAAGGGAAGGGAAGAGAGGCTATTTGCATTCAGAGAAAATGATATCAGATTTTTGTTGATCTTAGCAAGTGGAAGTTTGGAGCCAGATATGATAGGATTTATGAAAATGAAAAAATATGATTGCTTAATTATTTGAATATTGAGAAGCAATGGCATCAGTTTTTTTCTCCTGCTCTTAAGTAAAACTCCTTTTGTGAGTGAAACAATTTTCTTTCATTCCCTCCACCTCATTTTCACTGCCTTTGTTTCTTAAGTTAACTGATTTCTTTAAGTTTACCTCAATTAAATTCCCTTGTGTTGATGGATAGCGTATCTACAGACTTATGTCGCCTTAGTTCCTAAGTTAATATCTCCCAAAGCCAAGTGCACATCTTTTGGTGAACATTAGATATGAGTCAGTCCCCAGTGCACTTGGCCCTAAATGGCTTCCTGAGTTTTCTTTTTGTCCTTCAAGAATGTTAGAATTACCATATGACTCAACAATTCCACCCCTAGGTATATACCCAAGAAAACGGAAAACATATGTTCACACAAAAGCTTGTGCATGAATGTTCATAGAGGATTGTTCATGATAACCAGAAAGTAACAACAACGCAAACATCCATGAACCGCTGAGTGAATAAACAAAAGGTAGAATATCTATTTGCTAATAAAAAGGACTGAAGTATGGATCTATGTTCCACTGTGGATGAACCTTGGAAAATTATGCTGAGTGAAAGAAACTATATACATGCATATTGCATGATTTACTTTGTGTGAAATATTCAGAATAGGTAAATCCACAGAAACAAAATAGATCAGCGGTAATTAGAGGCTAGGAGAAGGAAAATTAGGAGTCACTCTTAACAGGTACTGGGTTTCTTTTGGGGGTGAAGAAAATATTTTGGAATTTGATAAGGGTGATAATTATACAATATTGTGAAGATACTTTTTAAAACACTGAATTACATATTTTTCATGGTGAAATTCATGTTATATGAATTATTTCTCAATTTTTGAAAGTGAAGATTGTAAAGCAAGAAAGAAAACTCATTAACCCCGAGTCACAGCTCTCTCCTTGGTGGCCAAGTGTGACATCTTCCTGTCCTCAGGTCAAGGATCCACTGTCTACCCCCTCCAAATGACAGCTGATGGCTGAAGATTCTGCTACTACATGTTGTCTTTCCTGACCCCACAGCCTTGTTTTTAACTCCAGCTTGCTCTGGGGGATGTTGCTGACCAAAGTCCCCACCCTAATATAGGTCCTCCGACTTGGAGTCCCCCAATGAATCACCCCTGGAGTGTGGACACCATACCTCAGGAATCCAGTCTTCCTAAAGCCAAATCATTTCCTTTGACTTGAGAAAATGGATCTTGGACTTTGTCCTCAGAAATAAAGATATATTGTTATGGGAGAAAGTGCACCCCCAAAATCATATATTGAAATCCTAATTCCTCAATACCTCAAAATGTGATCTTATTTGGTAATAAGGTCTTTACAGAGGACACCAAGTTAAAACGAGGTCATTAGGGTGGACCCTAATCCAACATGAATCGTGTCCTTATTAAAAAAGAAAAATTTGAACACAGCAACACATACAGAAAGAAGGTATCATGGAGACACACAATAGATGGCTACATATTGATAGTAATGCATCTACAAGCCCCAGAATACCAACGATTGCTGGCAACCTTGAACTAGAAACTAGAAGAGATAAGGAAAGATCCTCCATTGGAGTCTTTCCAGAAAACAAGACCCTGTCTTTATTTATTTATTTATTTATTTATTTATTTATTTATTTATTTATTTATTTATTTATTTTAAAGCCTGTAAACATCCCTCCGCCAAGTCTTTATTTTTTGTTTTTAAAGATTTATTTTTATTTATTTATACAAGCACTGGGTACAGTCAGAAGCGCGGGAGGGTGAGAGAATTCACCAGAGCCAGAACAGGCAGAAGGACCGAAGTACACTGCTGAGGGGAGCAGCAGGCGGCAGGAGAGGTCTGCGTGCCATGTGGGACCCTCCTCTGGAGGCCCAGGGAGCAGCCAGGGATCGAACCTGTGCTGCAGAGGCTGCGGGCAGCTTCGCAACCCAGCGCTCAACCGCTGCGCCACTGGGGAGGCCCAAGGCCCTGTCTTTATACATTGATCCTCTCCAGAATTGTGAGAGGATCAACTCCTGTTAAGCCACCTTGTTTTTGATACTTTGTTAAGAGGGCTCTAGGAAAATAATTCACATATAAAAGCGTAGTGTTTTCGTATGTGGATGAGAGGGATTCATACATTAAAAAAAAAAGAAACTGGGCCTCTCCTGGTGGCGCAGCGGTTGAGAGCTGGGTTGTGAAGCTGCTCGCAGCCTCTGCAGCGCCGATTCGATCCCCGACCACGGGGTGAGGGTCCCACGTGGCGCGCAGACCTCTCCTGCCGCCCGCTGCTCCCCTCAGCAGTGTACTTCGGTCCTTCTGCCTGCTCTGCTCCCCGCTCTGGCTCTGGTGAATTCTCTCACCCTCCCGTGCTTCTGACTGTACCCAGTGCTTGTTTAAATAAATAAAGAAATCTTTTTTTTTTTAAAAAAAATGAAACCATCAATACTATTCATAACAAAGAACAACAACTAGAGTGTATCTCAAGGGAATTATACCGTTGGAAAAAAGTCAATCTCTACAGCTTACATAGTGCATGATTCCATTTATATAATATTTGTCAAAGACAAAATTTTAAAGATGAAGAAAAGGTTGGTGGACTATCTAATAAAATCCTTGGTGAAAGGAGATGGGGGAGGGCAGGGTACAAGGGTAGGAGGAAAGGTAAATATGGCTATAAGAGAGAAGCAGGAGTGGGTCACCCTGGTGAGCAGGCGGTTGAGCACCACACTGCGAAGCTGTCCACAGCCTCTGCAGCACCGGTTCATCCCGGCCAGCCGGCGAGGGTCCCACACCGTGCAGCAAACCTCTCCTGTTTCGCCCGCTGCTCCCCTCAGCAGTGTATTTCAGTCAGTCTTCCTGTTCTGTTCCCCACTCTGTCTCTGGTGAATCCTCTCACCCTCCCGCATATCTGGCCTGTACCCCGGTTCTTGTAAAAATAAATAAATCTTTAAAGAGAGAGAGAGAGAAAGAGAGAGAGAGAGACATCCTTGTAGGGGAGCTCTCCCTGTCTTGCCAGTGGTGGGGGGTCACAGATGTCTACATATGTGACAAGCTTGCACAAAGCTAAATGCACACACTTGCAACTATGAATGCAATGAAAACTGGCAAAATGTGAATAGTGTCTAAGGCTAGTATCAAGATTACATTCCACTACACTTATTTACGACGCTACCGCTAGGGGACCAGCTGGAAGACCAGAGATGTCTCCTATTTCCCAATTTCACTCCCAGAACTGGGATTTTCCGCGAGTGTGTCTAGAGCTGTTTCATTACAGACCTGGGATTTCACTACGGTCAGGGAACTTGCATTCCCAGGAAAGAAGCAAAAACAAAAGCAAACACACAAACGAAACAACACCGCAAAAGGGCAGGCTGGCAGACTGGTAGAACTAAGCACAGAGACGAAAACCGTCAGATCCCCTCCCCATGTCTGCTCCCTCCCGGAGCCCCTCAATCATTTGAAATGTTATTGGGGAAGCAGATGCAGCAGGGAGGAGGCCAAGTGGCGGTGCGCGAAGCCGGGAGGAGAGTGAGCAGACGGCCTGAGCAAAGCCCCCGCTGCCAGACCAGGGCACACGGGGCAAATGACCTGGCCAGCCGCGCCACGGCGACACCTGCACGATCACCCTTGGCCACCGGGTCCGAAAGGCGGAGCGAGAGCAGGGTCACTCGGTCGCCAGCTCATGGCCCAGGAGCGCAGGGAAACTCGAAAAAGTTGAAGTCAGAGCGACTGAATGAGACAAGGGGACGTGCCCAAGCGCAGCAGAAGCCAGGTATGAATGCCGACCAACAGCGTTTGCTGGAAAGAATTTGTTTCGGATGACTTTGCTTTCGGATGACATTAGATCGAAAGAATTTCTGGGATCACCAGGGGCGAGTAGAGAAGAAAAGAGGCAGGACCCTGGGCCTCCGCAGTTGAAAAGCCGGATCCAGGCTCCGCGGGCGCAGCGATGCTCAGGGGACCCGGGCGGCGTGCGGGGGGTCCGCGCGGCCGCCGGGGCTTTTTCTAGAGGAGGGGTTGGGGCTGCTGAGTCATGGATCTGTCACTGCTTCTCACCTCTCCCCAGCCCTCCGGGGGCTAAAGCAAAAGCGAAAGCAAATGCGACTCGCGGGGCGGCGAGCACCGGGAGCTGCACCCGCCACCTCTCCCGGACCGTCGGGCATCCGCACGCGCGGGGTGGCTGGGCATCCCGACCGGTGCCAACACCCGAGGTGGCCCGCTGGGACGCGGCTGAAAGTTCAGCCATGGCCCGGCGGCGGCTCCAAGGCTGCGGGGTCAGCGCCCTCCTTGCGCTGCTGCTGTTGCTGCTCGGGCCGCCGGTGACTCCGGGTAGGGAGAGGCGTGTGTCCCGGGTGGGGAGGCGGAGAGGGGCTGGGGCGGCCGCGGCAGACTGCACCGAGCGCCGCACCTACGGTCGCGGGGAGTGCGCCGGGAAAGCCGGGGTGTGCGCCGGGAAAGCCGGGGTGTGCGCCGGGAAAGCAGGGGTGTGCGCCGGGAAAGCAGGGGTGTGCGCAGCACTGGAGGAAGGGAGGGGGCGTTGCGCCCGCGCGCAGGGACACGTGGAGGGAGCCGTGGGGAGAGGCTGCGCTGGTCCCCGCGCTCGCACCCACCCGGGCATGTCTCCACTGGGTAGTGGAGGGAGCCGCGTAGCCAGTTTGTAATTCCACTAGAGTTTTACAACAGTTTGGAAAAATGCGTGAGTGCAGTCTCCAGAGCCCCCCAGGAAAGCCGCGCGAGTGGCTCGACCTGAGTCTGGGTTGGGTAAGTGGTAGGGCCGGGCAGGTTGCACACCTTGGGAACCTGGAACCCACTCCAAATTCTTAAGCTGCAGAAAGCCTTGCCAGGGCGCGGGCGTGGTGCGCGCTCTTGGGCAAAGGAGCAGAAATGAAGCTGATGACGGCTTTGGTGGATTTAGGAAGGTAGAGCTCACAGATGTTATCTAGCAGGGAGAAGAAAATGAGTGAGTTTTGGCCCTGGAGAGAGAAGAGGAGGGAGAAGAAAGATAGTTGGGTCTAACTTTATCCCTGTTGGCGCTTCATAATTTTTTTTTTTTTTAAGTGAGGTTGATCTTGAAGCTCCTTGATAAACGCTCCAAAGCCTCTCCCATAAAAATGCATAAATGCGGGTCACCCCGGTGGCGCAGCGGTTGAGCGCTGGGTTGCAAAGCTGCCCGCAGCCTCTGCAGCACCTGTTCGATCCCCGGCTGCTCCCCGGCCACCGGAGGAGGGTCCCACATGGCGCGCAGACGTCTCCTGGCGCCCGCTGCTCCCCTCAGCAGTGTACTTTGGTCCTTCTGCCTGCTCTGCTCCCCGCTCTGGCTCTGGTGAATTCTCTCACCCTCCCGCACTTCTGACTGTACCCAGTGCTTGAATAAATAAATAAATAAATAAATAAATAAATAAATAAATCTTTAAAAAATTAATAAATGCACATATTTACAAAACTCGCGTGTAATTTTGGAATCAAGGGCACACTGAGGACCACCTGACTTCAGAAGAGTCATTGACTTTTCAGAAGTCAGTAACCCCAGGATATGTGTGTGTGTGTGTGTGTGTGTGTGTGTGTGTGTGTGTATGTAAGGCAAGTGACCCAGTAACTTACATCCAGTCATGCCAGTCTACCCAGTACTCTGTGTGTATGTGCGTTTGTGTGTGTGTGTGTGAAAGGCAAGTCACCCAGTAACTTACATCCAGTCAGGCCAGTCTACCCAGTACTTGATGAAAGCCATCCCAGGCACAGCTGCAGTTGAACCTCATAGTTCTGTGGGCTCTCATGAAGTTTTATTTTCAAGAGACTATAATGTTTGGATTTCCCCCCCAAGCCCCCCCCACATCTGAAAAGCTGACTTATGTTGGTAACCTGGTCAGTTCCTCCTAACTGGCTAGCCAGCCTCAGGCTTGACTCAGAGGCTATTCCAGAGAAAGCCTGTGTACCAGGACAACTCTGTCTTAGAATGTGAAAGTGAAGCCCAGCTTTAGTGAGAACCCAGCAAGGATGAGCTGTTTGCTTCAAAGTGCAGACAGGGAGCACAGCATGGCAGGCAAGATCTTCAACTTATCAATCACACTTGTTCTTATAGAGATATTGCTGCCATCCTGTAGCTCCTGATGTTTTTTAGTTTTTTAAAGGCAGCTTTAGTTTTTAATTGCCTGTTTGGTTTGGTTTTGTTGTTTTTTGTATTGTTATTATTGCCCCCCCATGTCTTATTTGGTTCCCCTATATTCCTCCTATAAGTGAAACCATGTGATATTTTTCTTTTTCCTTCTGACTTATATCACTGAGCATAATTCCTTCTAGCTCCATCCATGTTGCAAGGATGAATCGGTGAAGGAAATTCTATGGAGACTACACTTAGGGGGCAGGGGGGGAAGCAAACATTGTTTAAAAACGAACAGTGATGTAAAATATATATAAATTAAAAAAATAAAGGCAGCTTTATTGAGTTATCGTGGACAGATATTAGCAGTATACACACAATTTGGTAAGTTTAGAGGTAAATGTAAATTCACTTGTGAAACTACCACCACGATGTAGAAAGTAATTATCATTTAGAAAGTTTCCTCATGCTCCGCATACTCCTTACCTCCTAGCTTGCTCTGCACCCGCTGCCCTGGCAAACACTATGTGCTTTCTGTCACTATTGATTTGTTGCATTTTCTAAAATTTTATATAGATGGGGTCATACAGTATATACTCTTTCTTGCCTGGCTTCTTTTACTCATAGTAATTATTTTGAGATATCATCCATCTGCATTATAACTTGTATTGACATTTCTTTTTCTTTTTCTTTTTTAAAAGATTTATTTATTTATTTATTTCTACAACAACTGGATACAGTCAGAGGTGTGGGAGGGTGAGAGGATTCACCAGAGTCAGAGGGAAGAGCAGAGCAGGCAGAGTGACGAAATATGCTGCTGAGGGGAGCAGCGGGTGGCAGGAGAGGTCTGCGTGCCATGTGGGACCCTCAACCAGCGGCCGGGGATTGAAATGGCACTGTAGAGGCTGTGGGCAGCTTTGCAGCCCAGCACTCAACCGCTGCGCCACCAGGGGAGGCCCTATTTATTTTCTTTAAAAAGATTTATTTATTTATTTATTTATTTATTTATACAAGCGCTGGGTACAGTCAGAAGTGCGTAAGGGTGAGAGAATTCACCAGAGCCAGAACGGGGAGCAGAACAGGCAGAAGGACCGAAGTACTCTGCTGAGGGGAGCAGTGGGTGCGGCAGGATCCAACCCGCGCTTCAGAGGCTGGGGCAGCTTCGCAGCCCAGAGTTCAACCGCTGCGCCACCGGGGAGGCCCTTGAGTTAGTTTTTTTAAAAGAGGTGAAGTATGGATTAAAGTTTTTGCATTGGTTTGGTTCCAGGGTTTTTTTTGAATGGACATCCAGTTGCTCCAGCACTTTTGGTTGCAAAGGTTATCTCTGCTGAATTGCTCAGATCTTTCATGAACATTAGCTGCCCAAACATGTGTTATATATCAAAAAATCAATATACAGAAATCATTTCTATTTCTGTAATTAGCAATTAGAAATTGAAATTTTGGGGCCTCCCTGGTTGGCCTAGGGGTTAAGTCTCAGCGCTATCACAGCTGCAGCCTCAGTTTGATCCCTGGGCCAGGGAGCTAACCCACATGGTGCAGCAGACCTCTCCTGTCTCACCCGCTGCTCCCCTCAGCAGTGTATTTCAGTCAGTCTGCCTGTTCTGCTCCCCACTCTGTCTCTGGTGAGTCCTCTCATCCCCCACACATCTGGCCTATACCCCAGTTCTTCTATGCAAAAAAAAAAAAAATGGAAATTTTAAAATAAATATCATTTGCAATAAGATCAAAAAATAGGAAACAGGGATAAATCTGACCAAAAAATTAGAGCTACCTATACACTGAAAACCACAAACCATTGCTAAGAGAAATTAAAGATCTAAACAAGTGGATAGATGTGCCATGTTCATGGATTCGATAATCAATCTCATTAAGATGTCCATGTCCCCAGAAATTGACAAACTAATTCCAAAATTTACATTGAAATACCAAAGACCTAGTATAGCCAAAAGAAATCTGAAAAAGAACTGAGTCAGGGAAACAACACTTCTGATTTTGAAACAAATTATAAAGTTATAGTAATCAGGGCCATCTGGTATTGGTGTAAAGATAGACAAAAGGTCAGTAAAATAGGGGCTGCCCAATGTTTTTGAGTGGGTTCAGAAGGGTTTGGATCCAAGTTATTACATTTATTACTCTGGAGTATAATCTTGGTCAGAAATTATAGAGAAAAGCCCATTCTTTATCACTAGCTGGATAAATAATATAGTCTCAGATTTTTCCCTGATGGTTTATATTGCTACTAGACAAAGCAAGTTGCTATAAGTCTGCACTTATTCAAAAGGCTTATTGGTGGCCGCAGGTGATTTGCCAAAAGCAACTGGAGAAGACAGTGATCTCTTTGAAGATAAATATCCCCTGCTCACCAGTTCTGATTTGATTTGAATATATAGAGTATTAGGGCACTGGGGGTTTTACAACTTACATGTCTCTAGATATTTTTAAACAATTTTTCAGAACTCTAGTGAATTTTTCCCAAATCTTTCATTTTTTATTTCAAATCAATTTTATTCCATATTATTGTTTTGTGCTGCTACTGAGAGCAAAAACATGTGATAAAAATTTAAATGTAGAAAATATAAGATTGGTTGAAATCAACCTAAATTTCAACAGAGGAGAGAACTTCATGAGTAAAATGGAGTTGCTTTCAAATAGTAAGCATCATACGATTCAATTTTTATTAAAAGATCTAAAAATAGTTGTCATTCATCAGAGAGAAATGATGGAGTGAGTGTGTGTGTGTGTGTGTGTGTGTATTATTGGCTACATTTTTTTATTTTGTCATAATTTGAATTGTTTTTATAATAAGTAAAGCAAAATAAAGCTACAAAATAATTGACAATAAAGGTTTAGAATTTGCGGTGTTTGTTTATAATTGATTTTTAATTAATTATAGCTGATGTCCTAGTTTTGCATTGTTCTCCTGGCTATAAATTTTGCAGTTGCTCAAAATAAAGTCTGTGTAGTCACTGCATGTAGCATTTGTGCTACTAAGCATACATATTATAATTACATTTTTAATTATATTAAGTGTTTATTTAAACAACTCCCTAATGTTTGACCTGTGTGTAAGTTTTAATGACCTCTCAATGGCTGTACATTTAGGTTATTTCAAAATTTTTGATGCTCTAAACAGTACAGAGTTGGAATAACTATATGAATACTGGCTATATAAAGCAGAAAGAAACCCCTCAATGTCTAAAAAAATGGCAAAATGCTAAAGGGAATATTC